TTCAAGAGTGAAGGCTCTGCAAGAGGTGAAGAGAATTCTTCATGCCTCCGTTTTTTCTGTTTGTTTGTTTCTGGGTTTCTTTAAGAGCCTGTTAGCCTGCAGTACAGTCAAAGATGATCCCTGACACAGCGCTGCTCTGCTGGCTTGGACTGCAGCATCACGGGACTCCACCATAGGCAGCTGTTCCCAAACAGAAACTGAAATACAACCCAGGAGCTGCAACAGCTCCTCGCAATGACAGCACGAAACATCTTCTGTATAGGAAAAGGTGCCAAGGAGGCCTTGGCAAGCCTTGCCAAGCTTGCAACCCATGTTTCCACAGACCATCCTCCCTTCACAGCCTGGGGCGCGTGTTGGTGTTACTAACGGTAACGGACTTAGAGAAGGAAAGCCAGCTTTCTCTCTTCAGTGCATTTGAAACTATGTGACCTCTGCAAGCGAAGGTACCGGATGCAGGAACTACCAGCATTCTCCCACATGAAGGGTACTGCCCTTGGAACCAGAAGAACCAAAACAGAGTTATGAAAGCTTCCATCAAAATGAGGTCACTAAAAATATTTCAAAGAAGAGTTTCAATTTACAAAAAGCCACTTTTTAACTAGTTCAATGGAAAACCACTTGTTAAATGGAAAACCCAACTTGTTGGCAGAGAAGGCCACTGCAGAAGACAGAGTAAGTGGTTTGATAATACCCAGCAGGCACTAGTTCGGGGCTCTAAAGTTAAGATGAATGTTATTAAAAATTACACAGAGAAGGCTATGAACTGCTATGAGGAAAAAATGAGAGTCATATTTCCTTTGACCACAGAGTCTTGTGCACGATCCTAGAGCCTCCAGAACCTGCACTGGGTATCCCTCCTTCTCTAGCACTGTTTATTTAGAGGTCCACTCAAACGGGAAAGGAAATTCAAAAAATTGTTCATTGCTACAGAACACCCTGTAAAACCTGTATGAATAAATAATCCTTAATCTTGGAATTAATATGGTCACTCCTGCCTGAAGTTAATGCTTGGGGTTTTACAGCCATTTCAGTTAGGCAGTTTTTATCATTGGAGCTTTTAGTATAAGAAAAGATGCCAATTTTATCATAAAAGCAGTTACTTGGTCTAGTTCTAGGTCTCTACAGCGTGACCAAAACCAGCAATCGCTGAATTGCCTGGACTCAACAGGTAATCCTAAAGGGAAGAACAGCAGCTCTGGAATGCCGTTTCCTTTTGTCAATGTATGCAAACGTGTATCTTCTTGGGGGTAGGAGACAGAGAGGAGGGAGCTTTCACATAATTCCCACATCCACATGAAAATATCCAAAACATTTACTGCCAAAAAAAAATTTAAATTGTTCTGTTAAACACTGTCTACTTTCAGACAGTTAATTTCTAAGGGCACTACTACTTAGTAGTCAAGTATCTGAAAGCACCTTAGTAAGAGTTTAAATGCTCTAGGCGATTTTGGTTTTTTTAATACAAAGACAGCTTGAGTTATTTTATTATGTCATGCACCAAGGAAGACAAAATAAGAATAACGCAACTGGACAGCCCAGCATATGGCAACATAAATTACCAGCCCACATGATGAAAGTCAGCAAACTAAACAATCCCCTCCAAAACCAAGGTACTGAACAAAAATAAAAGCTACCATTAATAAAGAATATATGAAACGTCACAGCTAAGTAAACACTCAGTTGTTACACAAATCACTAAAATGCATCAGCAAGTTCCAACAGCAAAAACCAAAACGCATGACATGACAAAATGTAGCAGCCAGATGCAAACGTATGGAACAGCACAGAGATTATCCTTCCTCAGCCCCTGCCAATTAGCAAGCCCAGCTATAATGGGGGTGCTCCACGCCCTGTGACGTGGTACCAGGCATACAACCCAACCCTTCAGTCCCCCATCGCCCCCACGCCCCACGCTTCCGCTTCGCACGATCACATAAGGCTTTTCTTTAAGCTTTCTGTCCTTTTAATCACTCTCTTCAAAACACTTTCATTTAATCATTGCCTTTGGTGTTTGTGGAGCTTTGTAGAGCATAGAGGTTATACTCCACTCGGTTAATATCAAGCATATGAAGTTTCTTACCTCCAATATTCTGGATAATTATTGTAGTTGCAACAAGGACCTATAAAAAAAAAATCGATTTCTTTAGAAACAGTAAGGGTAACTAAAATCGTATGTCTATAGCAGTCATAAAACACATATGTATTATCTTAAACAGACCAGATGCAGAAGCGATAAACTGGTACTGAAAGGAAGAGCATCTTCTCTTTAGTGAAGAGTTTAACACATGGAAACCAATGCAATATAGAATGAATATAGAAGCAAAACATCTCCCTGAAAATATCACATTTTCATTCTGAGATGACAAAAGAAGAGAAGTTACAGAGCGAAGCCCGTTCTGCAGAAGATGAGGTTTTTAAATCACTGAAAACAGGCAAGTGCACCAAAATTGACATCAAGTGAGTAGAAATGAAAACAACCACTCACCTCTGAAAAGTCAGTCAGACAGCAGAGATTTGTACAAGCTACCTCCTCACTCCAAAACCCTGATTATTTTTAACTGTAATGAATGTCATTATTCTTTTAAACTTGTAAACTAGATAGATTTTTCTTTAGCATTTGTGATTATTCATACTGAACTGATATGGAAGTAGAAGTGATCCCAGGCTATTAAAATATCTGTCTGAATCCAAAAAATTAACTTTTAACTGAAAAACCCTAAAAGTGTCTAAAGTTTTCCCAGTGTTTTCGTTGCAGTCTAGTTCTAAAATAGTACGACCATCAAGTACGGTTTTCCTTTTTACCCACTGCTCTTCTTGATGTAGCAGGACCTTCCTACGTGAGTGCTACCATTAAGTCAACTTGGAAAAAATTAATCCACAGTTATGAGAAGAAAAATAATTTTGTAATTTTGAACAACATCTGAAAGCAGAGTTGCAGTTTTTTTCAATAGATCAGCTAGAAAATCATATCAGATTTTAAACAAATTCAAAGTCAGTTCAAAAGTCACCAGGGAAGAAAAAAAAAAAATTTAAAAGTATGGTATCTTGGAATTTGCCATAGATGGAAACAAACACCTCATGCCTTTGGAAAGGGAGAATCAGCAACCTTCCAACAGCAGAAATCTCCATTCTCACAAATCTCAGAGAAATACTTTTGACAGGAAATCACCATAAGCTTGAATAATTGCTCTACGGCAGCTAACCAGCAGTCTGCTGTCAACCTAACATGCCAGTTCAAGCAAGGTCCTACAGCAGCCTGTCTGTATCATCAGCCAATGACTTGGGTGAGGGAAGAGTAAGTACTACTTTAACGAAAAAAAGAAAAAAAAAAAGCCATCTGTGCCTGCCTGAAGCGAGGAGCATTCAGGGACAAGATCAGAATTCAGAACAGTCGTGGTAAAACTAGAAAATTCTAAAAATCAACCAGATCAGTTAAAAGCAATGCATTCAGGAAGCAGACCTCAAATATATGGCTTAGAGTAATCAGACTGCAAATAGAGAAAATACTCTGAGATAACGCGATCAGTAGCACGAAGCACCCACAGAAACAGCAAATCTTGTTTTGGGATGTAGTACCTGCCATGTTCTGCCTAAAATAGAGGTAATAGTTGCGGTGTTTTCACTGTCAAGTTCTCAGACAGCTTCTTGTGTTCCGTTTTGCAGGGAAGTTTTAAGAGAAGTGTATAAATATCAAGGATACTTCAAGTGAGAAAGTTCAGTGTTCCAGAAAATGCCAGTTCATCAGTAAAGCTTGGTGAACTTTGTTTAATTATTTAATCAAAACAACAGCTTCCCAACCTAGAAATATTCCCACGCTCTCCACACACACTGAAAATAAAAGACCAGATAATTTTTAACATATTTAAACTTAAAATTATGAAAGTTTGTTAAGGAGAATAAAAAAAAAAATTACTGACGTTGACTACATAGTGAAGCTCTGAAATCTTAATTTAAGCTTTTAAATAACAGATTAAACAACATCCACCAAGAATGGTTTATGTATGTTTAGCCCTGCTTCAGAGCAAAGGCAAACTAAGTCACATTTTAATATCTCCTTAAGCTCTACATGTCTATGACTTCTGCATCTAATGGCTTGTGGTTAATGTGTGCAGAACGGCCCCTACAAAAAAAATTTATTTCATACCTTGCTAGTATGAAGGTTTATTATCTGAGGTTGATGGCACCTTAACCTTGATCAATAAATATTGATCATCACAGACTACACTCACATCTGCTTATTAATGCTAATGGAACTCTTCCAAACACCTAATAGCTCAGATTTTATTCTCAGTTAGGTTAAAACAGAAGAAATCAGACTCCTGACTGTTAAGGAGAACTCATTTTAAAAAAAAATTTACATTGTTTCAGTAAACCATTAAAATCGCACTTCTGTGTGGTAAAATCTGCTTTTAGTATCATTTAACTGAAATATAGAGCACAGAAGTCATAATATTAAATGTACAGTATTCACTAGCAGCATTTCCTGTGCACCCAGTATTACTGAACAACATTATCTATTAGGAAAATCAGATTCAGTACACACTACATGGCTTACAGGTCGGTTACTCTCATACCAGAAATGGTTATTTTGCCGGGGGTTTGTTTGGGGATTTTTTTTTTTGTTTGGTTTTGTTTTTTGTTTTTTTTAATTGTGAGATAAAATTAAAATAACACATAAGAAACAGCCATCTGAAGAGTCTATTGAACAAAAGAAAAAAATTAACATGCATTAAACATACTTTTATTTGTTCTTATCGTGGAAAACTACATGAAAGACAAACACTTATCTCGGATCTCTACTAAATGCTAGACCACCAACAGGAAATCGCTTACCAGTCTCTTAACAGTTTACAGCAGAGGTAGAAATCTGAAACAGACTGCTGAGCCAACCTGACAACAATGCCAGCAAGCATGTATTTGTACATACAACTAAAAAATGAACACACTGATAGGAAAGTAGCACAAAATCTTGCATTTAAGGATTGTGTCTATTTTACAGTTCAGGGAAGTTTGGGCTTCCACAGACCAGACACACAAACTGAAACATTGCAAAAAGTAACAAGACATACCAGATTTTTCAGTATACTAGGACATCAATAATTATACTATGTATTTCCTTTACATCTCTTTACTAGGCAAAGAACAGTTGTGTATCAGAAGCATGAGACCAAGAAGGAAAATACACAGGTAAAAATAACTCACCTTTCCAGTTGATCCAAATGAAAACAGGCCAAGGTCTTCATAAGAAGTGACAGCTGTTAGTAAGGAAAAAAAAAAAAACTAAAATATTTCTTTCTTCAAAAATCCCTTGAAAGCTCTAGCTTTGCCTTTTTTCCTTTGGAAATGAGCATAATTCAAGACAGAATTAAAAGAATATTTTACAGTATTTTTTATTTATAGGCTCCTTTATATACACCTGTCCTGCAGCTACAAAATACAGCTATATGCTCAACCATTCACAGACTCTCCAGAAACTCAATTTAGTGTTAAAAAAAATATTTTAAAAATACTATTAAAAAATAATAATACTACATTAATGGAAAATTGTCTTCTCCTAAAGATTTTTGCAAATGATACTACAGGCAAAGAATTATATTAGCCTCAACAACTAGATACAAGATATTCCCAAATTTCATTTGTTAAAAGGGTACACTTGGTTGTTTTAAATGAAGACAACAGAGGATCCATTTTCATCTTTCTACGAATATAAACATTAATCACCATCTTGCCAGTTTTTGAAAACCCAGCACTATTTATTGTCAAGAGAGCTGAAAGCATACACCTTCCTTGGTTGAAATCTATTATTAAAAAAAACAAAACAAAACACACCAAAACAAAAACAAAACAAAAATCCTACCCTTACCTGCACCTGACTTACATAACCACATTAAAACAAGCACACACGAAACCACAGGCTTTGTTGAGTTTTAGCTGAAGCTCATTTCTAATATTGCTGGTAACTCAAACCAATCCCTTCTCAGAAAAAAAGGAAGTCACATTAAAGTCTTTCATTGTTGCTATTTTGTTATTAGAAACTTCAGTGATATCAGGAAGATGAAAGTTTTCTGAGAAATACCACTCACTTTCTCCCTACATAATAAAATGGTCCGTAATTGTAAATGCCTCAAGGGGTAAAACTAATCTCAAAACCACATCATTTTATTTTCACAGCACTTGCTTTCCCTTCTTTGGTTCTGCTTGGTGCACTACTGCTTCCACTCCTGTCGCATCTCCATTCCGGGCCCAGCCCTGCTCTTGGAGCTGCTGGGGCCAGACCCTCGCACCTGAGCAAAGTCCCGCTGAAGGACATGAAACACAGCATTGGGAGATGCCGGCGGTTCCCAGAGATCAGATGACAGCACCAGGGCCTCAGACCACCAACTGCCCAAGCTCAGCCCTTTGTATCTCACTGAAGTTCTACACACAATCAGATCAATGCTCCAGAGGAAAATAAACAAAACCGCCAAAAAACCCAACTTCACTCATTTTCTCAAGGACAGTGCTCCACATTCTGCTCTACTACTGACACCAGTATGGTATGACAAAACAAATGAAATTACAAAATTAAATGCGCCAGAGTCAGCTCTCAGCATAAACCTGGACTAATCTCTTACATCTGCTGTTACACTGATACAAGTTATATATAGTTGTAATTAAACAAGAAGTATGCGTTACTAGATTTCACCCTGTATTTTTCTTAGATTGGTATTTATAAAGTTGTTGAACATAAGGAAAAAAACCCAGCATTTTAGAAGGCCATCTCCAATGGCATCAAAAAAACCAGTAAAAATGTTAAACATATTTAGGAAAGACTTGTCTGTACTGCATGGGAACAAATACACAGCACACATGTATGAGGAGTTACCAGCAAAGAGAACTAAATTTTCCACACAAATGCAGAACAGCAATCTGAAACCTTAGAATACTTACTGTAGTAACTGTTTCTGTAATCTGTTTAGTCCTGTGAATAGTGGGAAGCCCTAACACTTAATCACATTAATTTTGTAATTTCTAGAATACGTGAAGCAAAATATTAAGCACAACTCATACAAACAAGCTCTGCCCTTTTGCCTTGATTTCTGTTATGCTCTTCACACTAAATGGAAGTTATCCATTTCAATGCAACGTAACACTGGCAAGTATAGTATGAGCAATACTCATGACTAAGTCATAAATTGAAAAGAAAAAAAAAGCCACGAAACTTCAAAGTACATCCCACTTAAATTCCCGATCCCTCTGCTTTAGAGAGTAAGCTTAGCCTTTGCCAGCCCAAACCCCCAAACAATGCAGGTGGTACTGAACCGACACCAGGAGAAAACATTGACTAAACTCCTTCAAATCTAACACTTGGGAATATTTTTTTTGCTAAGCCTTTCGGTCTACACAAATCATTTCATTTTTTCCAGACCAACATAATTTAAAAATTGAAGACACTTCCTCATTTTTAAACTACAACTAAAATGCCTATGCTTAATAAATCCTGGTGTCCATTTAAAATGGAATTAACATTAGAGCTCCCTTTTCAGAAGATATTTTGTAGGTCAGATCTTTCCTAGGATTCCTTTTACGGTTTGAATACCTGAATGAATAGTTTATAAACACTTTCAAAAGTTTTTCTTCTCTTTAAGTTCTTGTAGCTCATTTTTTTAATATAAAACTATTAAAATTTCTTTCCAATTCCTTACCATGGATTAAGCTTAACACTATAACATTATAAAATCTACGTGCATTTGTGAACAAAGAAAAACGTTCCATTATATACTTTGGAAGCAAATGTACATAGATTTTAATTCGTTGAGGCACAACAGGTCCTATTTCTCACTTTTTAAAGACAATGTTCCAAGGAAAAACTGGGAATGCTATCTAATTACTTAAATAGTTTACAGGAATTACAGTAAATAGAATCTAAGAGAAATCATATTAAAAAAAAAAACAAACTAAAAAATTGAAACACAGAAGGCCGTAAATCCAGCAAACTTCTGGTGCTAGTATTATCTGTCAGCATTAGGTGGTAACTCATTATTAACTGTAAAGTGCTAGTTTCAGACAAGAGAAATACTTCATCCTGTTACTTCAGTGCTATTCTTCGCTTTCAGTTGTGTGTATTTAAAAACTGCTTTCTTGCAGTGGAATCTTGCCTTTGGACAGTAACTGAGGAGTTAAACCATTCTTGTACATTAGGTCTCCAGGTTCATAACATGGAAACGTTCTTACTTCAAAAAGCTTAAATCCTTAGTTTTCCCCTCTCCCCAGTAGTTATTTCTCAAGGATCTCTTTCATTATTATTTTAACAGACAACCACATGTTACCACGCAGCGTCTATATAACACAGAACTTGTCAGCTTCAAATAAGAGGTAAAGAAAGATCATAAAAAACTATCTTAATTTCTCCCCTTTTTTTTTTGCTTATGTATTTTTCTAGCTACTTATTTCAGGTTCTAATTCCTTTCTAATAAGCAGAGCTCCAAGAGGAGAAAAAAACTACCAAAGATTTAGTCCCAAATCATCAAGCAGCCAACAATACCAGCCATAAAAGTAACCCTACCTCTGAAGAGTATTTGTTAAGAATGCATGAAGAAGATCACCCAACAGGTGAAGACAGGAGCAGCAGATCTAAGAAGAATCAGGAAGCAGTCGTCTGAGACCAAAGCTAGCTACAGAAAACAAAGCCACTACGGGAAGAAATGCAAGCTTGCTCCCACCACCTTTGAAAAGAGAGGAAAACAGATGAGAGGGAAACAATAACCAGGTGACTGAAAGAGATGGAGACTTCCTGCTAGAACGTTATAGCGTGATCTTTGTGTATGAGAACTCAAGGAACTATTCAGTTGTTTCGCTAAGGAACTAGTTAGTTGTTTCACTAACAATTAAAAGAAGCAAGAATTAAAACATTAGCAGATTAGGTTGTTCAAACAGTAAATTCTACTATCTGCATTCTCAAAGGAGTGTAATTTCTAAAAACTGCAATGCGACTTCTCATTCAGTATCAAAAATGCTGTAAAAACGTGCATCCATAAAGTGCCATGAGAATTATGATTATCCAGGATGACTACAAAACCTGAAAGATACCCATTTCCAACCATAAACAAAATATATATCACAAGTACAAGAATGAAAGTCTGATATTTTATTGCTCTCAAGCCGTCGCTGAAAGCAACAGTACACAGCGAAGTAGTGCAGTCCAGCCAGCACCAAAATAATTTTGCTACAGAAATACAGGATCTATCTTTTTGCAAAGATGAGATGGGCATTTTGAAAAAAAATTAAAACTGAAAATCTAGAAACCATTCAGTTTGGCATTTACTTTTCATAAGTTCCAAAATTGCATTGGTAAGTGGCAAACAGCAATCACTAAAAATGTTAAATATTTCAGTATCACCGAACCAGACACACCTATCTGCTAGCCCACTGTTAGTTATAACGAGTCATGTCTTTGTGATACAGGTGAGGAAGGATTTCGGAGCTCAGTGTCAGATAAGTCCTCTTCACTTACCAGTCTGAGTGCACATACTGAGCAGAAGAAACACAGAGTAAGAAGCAAGACTGGCAACAATCAGCAGCAAGATACTAAAAAACACAAAACAGACACAACTGAAGGACTTTCACAGTACAATGAACTTTCTACCCTCAAGAATGCTATTTCTGCAAGACGTGAGCTACCACGAGACCAGATTTCCTCATTTTATGGCTTGCATCTGCTGACCGTGGTTCACGCAGTCTCTGACCTTCCCCACACTTGCTAAGTTCCACTGCTGCTTATATTGTCCACCAAAGCACATCATGTACTATCCAGGGTAAAGGCCTGATATATGAATTACAAAGAGGACATCACCATAGAAGCATGCACATACATATACACACAAATACGTATCTTCTGACAAATGCTCAGAAAATGGTAAATGTGACAATTCTGGCCACTTTGGCCCCGATGTCCAGAGGTTAGCGTGTACAACAAGCAGAAGCGCAAACAAACGCACAAGCTGATTCCCATTTTTCAGACACAGAGCCCTCCTACTCCAGAGGGCCGCTTCTGGAGCTCAGGGAGACAGCAGCTTTGGAACATAAACACCAATCTATCAGGAGTAATGGCCAAGAAATTGCCACCATGTGGCAATTTAATGCAACGCGTGGGCAGCGCCTGCGTTAGGCCAGATCGCAGTGACTACACCAAAGAGGGAAGATCTTGTCCAACAACGCTGGAAAGCACAAAAGATTTATTTCTTCCTCAGTTTTCGCACGGGAGTCTTAGTAACCAAATTCTGTCCCATTTAAAGCTACGAGCCGACCTTAGAAACGAAACTTACCTAAACCCCAGGATCCCTGTGCTGGCCATAGCGTAGGATAAACCAAGTATCCCACTCCCCATGATGGCGTTCATTAAATTAAACACCGAGAAGCCAAAGGAAGAGCAGGGATTTGGAGGACTCTGCGGAAAAGGACAAAACAGAAGCACGGTTTTTGGCC